CGCCTGCCTCCTGCCCCGCCCTGGTTCCCCGCCTGCCTCCTGCCCTGCCTTTGTTCCCCGCCCCTCCTCTTGGCTGCTCCAGCTCTGGGCTCAGGTGTCTTCCTTTTTGTGGGACAAGCCCAACTTTTCCCACTTCCATCCCTCTCTGTGCCCACATGCCACCTCCTCACCCTTTTCCCACCTCCATCCCTCTCTGTGCCCACATGCCACCTCCTCACCCTTTTCCCACTTCCATCCCTCTCTGTGCCCACATGCCACCTCCTCACCCTTTTCCCACCTCCATCCCTCTCTGTGCCCACATGCCACCTCCTCACCCTTTTCCCACCTCCATCCCTCTCTGTGCCCACATGCCACCTCCTCACCCTTTTCCCACCCCCATCCCTCTCTGTGCCCACATGCCACCTCCTCACCCTTTTCCCACCTCCATCCCTCTCTGTGCCCACATGCCACCTCCTCACCCTTTTCCCCCCTCCATCCCTCTCTGTGCCCACATGCCACCTCCTCACCCTTTTCCCACCTCCATCCCTCTCTGTGCCCACATGCCACCTCCTCACCGCTCCTGGGGGACAGAGCTCAACTGCACGTCCAGGCGCTCGCTGAGTGGAGGCTGCGTCTGTGACGTTTTATTCTCAGAGACGCCGGGATGCTCACCTGAGTCTCTGCCCCCAGCCAAGGGAGGCCCTGAGCCTGTTTAGGGACAGCAGGAAATAATGGCAGAGGCCCAGGACCCCCCTCATATCCCCCTTGCCCGACTCGGTGGTGACCCACTCAGCAATGCCGGGAGCAGCCACCGCTGTGCTGGCAGAGCCGCCTTGCAGGAGGGGAGGTCCCGGCCCCACGTTCGAGAGCAGAAGACAAAACATCTCCTGTGGCTGCTGTAACAAGGGCCACAAGCAGGTGGCTTCCAACACTGTGGATGCACCGTCTCCCGTTCTGGAGGCCAGACCCCAAGATCACGGTGTGGGCAGGGCTGTGCCCCCTCCTTCTGGAGGCCAGACCCCAAGATCACAGTGTGGGCAGGGCTGTGCCCACTCCTTCTGAAGGCCAGACCCCAAGATCACGGTGTGGGCAGGGCCGTGCCCCCTCCAGGGTATCTTTCCTGCCTCTCCCAGCTTCTGGGGCTCCAGGCATCCCTGGGCTCGTGGCCGTGCCATTTGAGTCTCAGCCTCCGCCTCCACGTGGCCTCCTGCCTGGGCCTCCATGTTGCGTTTCCTCTGCCCTCTCTTTAAGGACACTGTTGGATTTAGGACTCACCCTAAATCCAGGATGATCTCTTCGTCAGTGGGTGGCTGGGTCAGGTTCTTGACTTTGCAGCACAAAATAATTTGAGAGCAAGTCCAAAGCACAAGTAGGCAAAGTAGTTTGTCACAAAGCGAAAGTGCTCCTCGGAGGGAGAAGCAGCCCCTGGTGCCTTGAGGGGAGTCCTTTCGTGGGAGCCGTGCGTGCACGTTCATGAAATACAGTGAGGTTGGGTATATAAAGGCAGACAGACCTGCGGTTAGCTGTGTGTGCGCGTCCATGAAATACGGCGAGGTCAGGTGTGTAAAGGCAGACAAGCCTGCGGTTGGCTGTGCATGTGTGTTCATGAAATACGGTGAGATCAGGCATGTAAAGGCAGACAGGCCTGTGGTTGGCTGTGCGTGTGTGTTCATGAAATATGGTGAGCTCACGTGTGTAAAGGCAGACAGGCCTGCAGTTGGCTGTGCGTGCGTGTTCATTAAATACAGTGAGGTTGGTTATGAAAGGCAGACAGGCCTGTGGTTGACTCTGCGTGCCTGTTCATGAACTACGGTGAGGTCAGGTGTGTAAAGGCAGACAGACCTGCGGTTGTCTGTACTTGCCTGTTGATGAAATACGGTGAGGTCAGGTGTGTAAAGGCAGATAGGCCTGCAGTTGGTGCACATGCCCAGTACCTAAGTGCTCCAACACACACTGCCTGTATCATTACATATGGAATCCTCACTGGGGGTGTATCTCTTACTATTAAAATGACAGAAAGGTCCCTGTAAGCTGAACTTGGAGCCTAACTGTGCGTACAGCTTCCTGGAGATGCCCCTGGCCCCTCCAAGGCAGGAATGTGTGGCTAAGAGCTTCGTGGACTTTGGGTGCTGACTGGCTGGAGATTGGGGAAGCTACATCAGGAAGAAGGTACCTTCATTCTCTTTCCCGGGCCCCTACTGGGCAGGGGGCTTCACACAGGGAACAAGGACGTCAGTGTGGCCTCCCCACCCCTACCGATCCTGCCTCAGGGTCATCTCAGGATCTCTAACTTAACTACATCTGCGAAGATCCCACTTGCAATCAGTCACGTGAGGACAGGCCCTTCCGAGATTAAACCCGGGCCAGAACACGTGTTTCCGAGGTCGGAGACAGAGGCCACGTCCTGCTGACACCATGTCCTGGGTCGCGGGAGGAGGACACCGTTCAGCCCACCACAGAAGAAAGGGCTTCCTCAGGGAGGACCGGCCCAGCCGTCGTTTGCTCCCCTTGGCTCTCCCTCATCCCCAGCAGGCGCGCAGGAGGACAAGGCTGGGGGCTGAACTTCAGGGTGAGCGACTCGCCTTCCTCATTGATGGGCATTTTGGACTTGTTGGAAAATCTTTGAGCTCCTTTATCTGTTTCTTGGGGCTGGGTTGAGCGTTGCAGAAAAGTGAGATTTGGAAAAGTCATCCTGGTCTTCATTGTCTTCCATTTGCCAGCCGGTGGGTGACAGGGGGTTAAATAAAAACACTTCAACTCCACGCGTGTGGAAATGACCTGGCAGGATCTCCCTCGCACCACCTGCAAGGCGGACGCGGTTGGGATCCTCATTGTGCCGGAGAACTGAGGCTCCCAACGGCTGTCGGTCTCACCTGTGGCGCCTGGGCTCGAACCTGGATCACACGCTGGCGCTGCTCCCCGTCAGGAACGTCTGCTGACGGCTGGTCCACCATCCACAGGCCCCACTTCTAGGAGCCCCACCTGCCAGGCGCTGAGCCCAGCATGACGCAATGGAGCATAAGCCAATCAGAGCGCCCTATTTTCCTCTGGCCACAGTGATTGGTGCATGACGCAATGGAGCATAAGCCAATCAGAGTGCCCTATTTCCTCTGGCCACAGCGATTGGTTCAGGGAAGGGCACGTCACCCAGTCACAGCCCGGGAGACACAGGGATGTTTTCCTGCGTGTCCTGGGAAGACAGGCGGGTTTGCTGCCCTGGACTCAAACCCCTGGAAGGTCCGGACCTGCGGGGACACGGCCTCCGGCCACGCGGACAGGCCTTCCTGAGATTAAACTCAAGCCAGAAGGCTGGAGCCAAGAGAGGCAGACAGAGGCCCGTGTCCCACTGACGAGCTTTGACCCCCGGTCAAGCTGGCCCGAAACCAAACCCACCTGGACTTTTCCTACGGATGAGCTACCAACCCCCTTTCTGCTTAGGCCAGCCCGGCTCGGCTTCTGCGTGTTCCTGCTGAGCAGACAGCAGAGGGTGCATCTGGAAGGTTCTGTTGCCCTCATCGCTCCTGGGCACCTCACACGCTCCCCAGCATGGCCAGCGTCCCGGGGGCCTCTGCGTCCATCTCTCAAACCTGCGGCCATGAGCTTGCAGGGAAGCCTGTTCCACGCAGGCAGCTTGTTTATAAAGCGAGTGGCCGCTGAGATCCATCCATAAAAGGCCGTCGATATCCTGGGGCAAGGAGTGGGTCCCGGACACGGATTCTAAATCAAATGAGAGGTCATTGAGAATGAGTAGGTGACAGGGATTCTCTGCCCCCACCCGCCCTCGCTCTAAAGTCTGAAAAGGCTAGAGGCCCCCGGGAATGCTCACGCATTAAATCCCTTGTCCTTGCTGCTTGCGAGTTCTTCAGCACAGGTGCATGTGGCCCCGCAGCCAGGCCCGAGACGCCTCCTGACCTAGTGATGGAGGGAGAAAGAAGGGGTGGAGTCCACCACTGTCCCCAAGGCCAGCGGCTTCCTCCACTGCTCCGAGGAGGCATCGGGGACAGGCATGAGTACTTCACGGGCCCAGCTGGTGCCTGTGGGGCCCCTTGAGTCTTCATTTGTCCCCTCATTACACAGATGTTTATAAAGTACCTGCTGTGTGCCGGGCACAGCCTGGGTTCTTGGTATAGAGCTGTCAACGGGACAGAAAAGGAGCTTGCTGTCGGGGGCTCACGTTCTGGTCATGGGGGGGAGATAGACCTGCAGGAACAAACAGGTACAGGGCGTGCGCTTGGGGACGGTGAGGGGCCGCCCCGTGGGACAGGGCTGGTCCCAGGCTTTCTGAGCAGCCCTGCCCCTCTCCCGCTGGGCTCTGGGAGTGCCTCTGCCCCCACAACCCTAAAACATCTCCTCTCAAACCTGCAGCCGCTCCCACAGTCCGTCCTAAGATCTATTTCCTTTCTCAGGGTTTTTTGTTTTACACATTTTGCAAGTTCATGAAAATTGTGTGATCCAAGCTTTTTCCTCTACAGACTAATGGAGTGAAGTCTTCTTGTCAGAATGCATTTTTCTGAGTGATGAAACCTCCCTCGCTGAGCACCACAGTCCAGATAAATGTGACGGTGACGCACAGCCCTCGTCCCTTTGAAATTCTCACCAGAGGCTCGGAACTAGCTGCTAGCCAAGGTGGAAAGTGGCCATGCAGGTGGCTGGCTCCTTGGCTGTGCCTGGCTCCTCAGCTGTGCCCAGCAGCGCCGTCCCCAACGTGCTCCTGAAGCTGACAGCTGGGGTTGGAATCCCAGCACCTGCACTCATGGCCCACGGGGGAGGCTCCTGTCTGTAGAACGGGGACATTCATCTCTTGAGGTTGCTGTGAGGACAGGGTGGGCACAGGGGCTGTGTGTGTGCCGGGTGCCGTGTTACTGTTACTAGTTTCTTTCTAGAACAGCTCTGACCCCTGTACACCCTTGGCGTCTGGTTGTAGGGTCAAGGCCTTGTCCAGTAGCCCTCGAAGGGTGCACCTGGCTCCCAGTGTCCCGTGCACCCCACCCTGACCACACCCCAAACCGTGTCTCCTGCAGGTGCAGACAGATGAGCTACGCCCAGGACCTGCCCCAGGTCTCCGTGGTCTTCATCTTCGTCAACGAGGCACTGTCGGTCATCCTGCGCTCCGTGCACAGCGTGGTCAACCACACGCCCTCCCAGCTCCTCAAGGAGGTCATCCTGGTGGACGACAACAGTGACAATGGTGAGTGGGCGCGGCCTCAGCACGGTGCTCACGGGGTGGCTGCCTGTGGCTGGGTTGAGCTGGGGTTGGGTGGAGCCTTCTGGGACGGAGCGACAGAGGACCGCACCCCGTCTGTCCACGGGGCTCTAAAGCTACGGGGGTCCCTCCTGCCTTCCAGCCTCTGTCATAACTCGTACATGCTGTCCCCACTGTGTGGCTGCCCGTGCCTCTCTCTGCCTCGGTCACACAGCCTCTCCCCCTGTGTCTGCATCTTCTCCTCTTCTCATGAGGACCCACACTAGACTCAGAGCTCACCCCAAATCCAGGAGGATCTCATCTCAAGATCCTCAACCGGATACGTCTACAAAGTCCCTGCTTCCAGACAAGCTCCCCTCTCAGGCTCCGGGTGGAGATGAAGTTGGGGTCAGCCACCCCACCCTCCACAGAGGCCAGCAGAGCTGAGCTCTCCCAGGTGCCACTTCCCGCCTCTCATGCCCACAGAGGCACCAGAGCTTGGCTGGACGGAGCTGGTGGCTGGAGCCCAAGCCCCGTGGTTCCTCAGCACCACCCTCCTCAGCCTCAGGTGCCCTGAGGGCAGCACTGCTCACACCCTCTGGCACACAGGCTTGAAACGCCAAACGAGGATCTGGCACTGCCCCAGGCCTGTCCCCCATCTGCCCTTCCCAGGCGCAGAGCAGAGAGCCCACAGCCATGACACTCCCTCCGGAAATGGAGGGAAACATGAGCAGGCCCTTCCCAACCCCTTGTGGAGGCAGAAGGCTGTACCGTGGGGCTGTGGGGCAAGCTCTGGCCTGCAGCAGGGCCCCAGCCCGGCAGCACCGTCTACACCGGGGTCTGTGTGCGGAGGACTGAATGGTGTGGCCGCCCTCCTGAGCCCTATCTCGCTGCAGAGGGTGGTGTGTGGGGAGGACCGTCCAGTCCAGCTTGGCTACCTGTGTCTTGCCCTTGGCCACAGGGAGCTCCATCAGGACACCCTGCCTCCAGCATGGAGAGGCCACGTTTGTGTGTCCACCCATCCATGCATGGACTTGGCTGAGCCGGTTTCGTTGCGTGGAGAGACCACATTTGTGTGTCCACCCATCCATCTATGGACTCAGCTGAGCTGGTTCCGTTGCGTGGAGAGACCACGTTTGTGTGTCCACCTATCCATGCATGGACTTGGCTGAGCATGTTCCATTACGTGGAGAGACCACGTCTGTGTGTCCACCCATCCATGCATGGACTTGGCTGAGCCGGTTCCGTTGCGTGGAGAGACCACGTTTGTGTGTCCACCCATCCATCTATGGACTCGGCTGAGCTGGTTCCGTTGCGTGGAGAGACCACGTTTGTGTGTCCACCCATCCATCTATGGACTTGGCTGAGCCGGTTCCGTTGCATGGTTTGTGTGTCCACCCATCCATCTATGGACTCGGCTGAGCTGGTTCCGTTGCGTGGAGAGACCACGTTTGTGTGTCCACCCATCCATCTATGGACTTGGCTGAGCCGGTTCCGTTGCATGGAGAGACCACATTTGTGTGTCCACCCATCCATCTATGGACTCGGCTGAGCTGGTTCCGTTGCGTGGAGAGGCCACATTTGTGTGTCCACCCATCCATCTATGGACTTGGTTTTTTCACGGCTGACTGCTCAGCCCTGTGTCTCCCGTCTCTGCAGCACGGGCTGCTGCCTGGTCTGGTGTGTGTTCTTGTTTGCTGTGTCTCCCACGGGAATGTCAGCGTCGTGAGGCTGGGGTCTCATCTCTGTGACCTCCCACGCTGAACCGCGTGCCGCTCAGTGGGTCCTAAGAGAACGTTTACGAGACACCCATCCCACACGGGGCACGCAGCGTTTCTGGCTTTGGGTCTTGGTGGCCCCGCGCCTGCCGGCACCTGCCAGCCTGCTGACGTCTTGTCTCTCCTCAGTGGAGCTCAAGTTCAATCTGGACCAGTATGTCAACAAGCGGTACCCGGGCCTCGTGAAGATCGTCCGCAATAGCCGGCGGGAAGGACTGATCCGCGCCCGGCTGCAGGGCTGGAAGGCGGCCACTGCCCCAGTCGTCGGCTTCTTCGACGCCCACGTCGAGTTCAACACGGGCTGGTAAGGGCCGGAACAGGCTGGACAGCTGGTCTCAACGGGTCCCCCTCCACCATCCCCCTCCTCAGCCGCTGTGCTGCTGCAGCCTGGCCGCTGGGCTGGCCCCGGGGCTGGGGTACCCACCGTAGCCTTCAGGAGCTGGGGCTGAGAGCCACCACCGAGTCCACCTGTTCGGTCACCTCTGCGGCCTCTCCGTGTCCAGCTCCCGAATGCAGAACCACTGGAGGGCAGGCCCAGCACGCACCCAAGGACACGGTTCTTAGAAGCTCTGAGGCACGTGTGTGAGGCTTGGTCTGTGCCCACTTTGCCCCGGGAGAACGTGACCCCGTCCTGACTGCAGCAGTCTCGGGTACTGTGTGTCCCCCGCGGGGCAGGAACCTCAGATCAGGTGGGGTGGGGCTGAGGTGTACACGTCCAGCCTCTCAGGCCCTGCTCAGTCGCTGGAGGTGGCCACAGGTGCCCTGGAGGCCTGAGCCGAGTGCGAGGGGCGTGGGAAGTGAGTGAGGGCTTCACCCGTGAAGGTCCTGGGCTGAGGGTCACCTTGTGTATGGGGTCCTGGGGCCACCAGCACAAAGCACCCCTGCTGGGCAGCTCAGGGTAGCAGGACTTCACCTGAAGGTGTGGGCAGGGCCGAGTTTCCCCCAGAGGCTCCGGGCAAGGATCCCTCCCACCTCTCTCAGCTCCTGAAGGCTGCAGCCCCCCTTCTGCCCCCCACGCCCTCCCTGTGTCTGTCTCCCCAGCCCTGCCTTGTGCAAGGACTCTTGTCATTAGAGTTGGGGCGGCCCAGGATGCCCCCATCCAAACCCCAAAGCCAGCCCCACAGAGGGCACCTACAGGGTCCATAGTGTACAGGGGTGTGTGCCCGGCACCCAGGCCAGGCCCTGCACCCACAATGCACAGGGGTGTGTGCCCTGCATCTCAGCCAGTCCTGCACCCACAATGCACAGGGGTGTGTGCCCTGCACCTCAGCCAATCCTCCGTCCACAATGCACAGGGGTGTGTGCCCTGCACCTCAGCCAATCCTCCATCCACAATGCACAGGGGTGTGTGCCCTGCACCTCAGCCAGTCCTGCATCCACAATGCACAGGGGTGTGTGCCCTGCACCTCAGCCACAGGCCAGACCCTGCACCCACAATGCACAGGGGTGTGTGCCCTGCACCCCAGCCAGTCCTGCATCCACAATGCACAGGGGTGTGTGCCCTGCACCTCAGCCAATCCTCCGTCCACAATGCACAGGGGTGTGTGCCCTGCACCTCAGCCAGTCCTGCATCCACAATGCACAGGGGTGTGTACCCCACACCCAGGCCAGACCCTGCACCCACAATGCACAGGGGTGTGTGCCCTGCACCCCAGCCAGTCCTGCATCCACAATGCACAGGGGTGTGTGCCCCACACCCAGGCCAGACCCTGCACCCACAATGCATAGGGGTGTGTGCCCTCCACCTCAGCCAGTCCTGCGTCCACAATGCACAGGGGTGTGGTCCCCGCACTGGGCCAGGCCCCGCACCCACAATGCACAGGGGTGTGTGCCCAGCACCGGGTCAGGCCCCGCCCCCACCATGCACAGGGCTGTGTGCCCCGCCCCTGGGCCAGGCCCCACCCCTCTCCACCCAACCACAGGGAAGACCCCGGAGGCCGTTTTCCCCACTTCCTGGAGAAACCAAAACTGAAGATTTTATATCAACTCTCCTGACTCATTTTTCTAAACTCTAAACTCAGGGAAGTGCCAGCTGTGGTTGCCACAGGGGACTTTGGTGGGAAGCGGCAGCTGACGATCAATCTCAGGGTTACACGGAGGCCGGGGACTGTCACTGTTGGCTGGGACACCCCACTGCATGTGACCCGGGCCTCCTGCTGGGTCCCCGGGGAACCTGGCGTTTTGGGGCTTCTGAAAACCTGTGGTTTCTGTAACAGCATCAGCGGGTTTGAGCGGGGACTTGGCACCTCTCAGGCTTCTCGCCTCACACTCGGCTTTCCTGGGGCATCTCAGCTCCCAGCCGGCGCTGTTCTGATGAGACGCTGCCTCCTCTGCCCTGTGCCCTGCCTGCCCCTTCCTCGCTCCTCCGCCGGGTGCTCCCCTTTCCCTCAATGTTCATCAGCTTCTGACGTGTTGTGCATGAATCGTGTTCCACTGCCTGCCCCCCTCAGGGTCACCCCCCATGGTCGCACAGGTTGTGCACTGCACAACTACACCCGCAGCCTTTCAGTGCCTCTGACGCTGCGTAAGCTCCCCGAGGCCTGAGGGCATGTGGGGGAGCCTTGCGTCTGTCATGTCAAAATGCAATTTTTCTTTTTGAGACAGGGTCTTGCTCTGTCACCCAGGCTGCAGTGCAGTGGTGCGATCTCGGCTCACTACAAGCTCCGCCTCCCGGGTTCACACCATTCTCCTGCCTCAGCCTCCTGAGTAGCTGGGACTACAAGCGCCACCACCACGCCTGGCTAATTTTTTTTTTTTTTTTTTTTTAGTAGAGACGGGGTTTCACTGTGTTAGCCAGGATGGTTTTGACCTCCTGACCTCATGATCCACCCACCTCGGCCTCCCAAAGTGCTGGGATTACAGGTGTGAGCCACCGCCCCCGGCCAAAATGCAATTTTAAACCAGTGCAACTTTAATTTTCACAACTGAAAACCCAGTTATCCTTCTGTAAATAGCAACCGCTCCCATAACTGTCCCCACAAAGGATTCTGCCTTATTAGCAGACCTGGCATTTCCAGGGAGTTTTTCATCTCTGAAGCACTTTGCTAACAGTAATTAATTAATCCTCCTCACAAAGCTGAAAGGCAGGTAAATACCAGGCCTCACGCTCAGAAGGATAAGGAGGGGTGAGGACAGCCACGTGGTCTCACAGGCAGGGTCAGGGCCTCGCCGCTCCCCACACCGGCCCTGCCTGAGCTGACCCAAATCTGCCCTCAGGCCGTCCTGCCCCTCACTGCGGCCTCTGGGCTCTGTGTCAGCTAGTGGCTAGGTGGCTGCAGCCCCGTGGGACTCCAGCATGGATGGCGGGCCTCTGCAGCCGTCTCACCTTTCGGTAGACCATGGTGTCTCACCTGCTTCCCAGGACCCCTGCCTGGGATGGGGAATCGCAGACTGAGCTGACGCCCACGGAGGCCGCTTCTGCTCACCTTCCTCTCTGCCCTCCTCACCCCCGACTGTGCCATCGCTCTGTCCAGCCTCCTGGCCAGCCCTGCAGGCCCATCAGGCACACGCTGGGGCTTCGGTGCAACTGCTGTTCCCTCCAAGACTCCCTCCACGCCTCCTGCCAGTCACTACCCAGGGCAGCCCTACTTAAAACTGTGAGCCCCTTCTACCACATCCATGACTGCTTATACCTCATCCTCTGTCCCGTCCTGGAGCGGGGCCACTGCACACTCGCACAGGTTCCACACTGCACAGCGGTGCCTGGTGGCTTTTCCATCCCACACTGTGTGAGCTCCCCATGACACGGATTGTTTTTATTCCTTAGTTCATGATTGTGTTCCAATTTGTGGGAACAGGGCATGGCACATAGTAGATCCTCAGTTAATTCTTGCAAATGAGTGTAGCTCCCACAGGAACAAGAAAGGAGAGGAGGGACTCTGGGCTGGGCAGAGAGGAAGACTGAGCTGGGGAGCCCGTGATGGACATAGCTGACCTCTTGTGGACCCCTGGGCAGCCTTCAGAGACGCTGCAGCTGGGCCAGCGTGGCCAGTGCCAGCATCCCCCAGGGGCCAGGAGCATTCGAGGGGCTGCCCCAGCAGGGGTGAGGCCTTGGTCAGGGTGGGTCTGCTGCTGAGAGGGGCCCTGGGGCTTCCAAGTGAGGCGGTGGCAGCAGGGGGTGGCAGGGTTGGATGCAGACCAGGTGGGGCCTGGCCTCCCCTCCCTGTGGGCGAGTGGACCCTCCTCGGGGAGTGCGGTGGGCTGGGGCCGCCCCCACTCACGGCTGTGCCTCCGCAGGGCGGAGCCCGCACTGTCTCGGATCCGAGAGGACCGGCGTCGCATCGTGCTGCCAGCCATAGACAACATCAAGTACAGCACGTTTGAGGTGCAGCAGTACGCCAACGCTGCCCACGGCTACAACTGGGGCCTCTGGTGCATGTACATCATCCCCCCGCAGGACTGGCTGGACCGCGGCGACGAGTCGGCGCCGATCAGGTGAGCTGCCCCAGCAGGGGTTGAGGGCGGCCCTGCCTGGGAAGGAGCGGAGCAGAGCGAGGCGGGCGGGGGACGGGGGCTGGGGACGGGGGAGGGGGACAGGGGCGGGGGACGTCCCCCAGCAAGCACAGCCTGGTGCAGGGCCCTCGCAGAGACCATGGTGAGGGTTGGGCCAGGTGCTGGGGCCCCCGGCCTTTGCCATAAAAACTTGGCACACAGAGCTGGTCTGTATCACAGAGATGCAGATGCAGCCCTCGGCGCTCACTGGAGCCGGGACTAACGGCTTGAAGGTTATTTTTCTTCATTCAAAATGCACTTGATAATCCCCAATCAGCAGGAAAAGGATTGTGTTGTGTCAGGATTGCCTTGTGTCAGGATTGCCTTGCGTTTGACATTTTAAAAATGAGTGAATTCAGAGAACGCAATGGGAGGCACCTCCCACAGTTTTTGGCAGGCTCTGGATGCCCTGAGCTGCAGCAGGATCAGGCTCACTGGCCCCATCGAGTCTTCAGGGCATGGCTGCCCACTGCTCCTCATAGCCACCACCTGGACAGCTGCTGAAACCCCCCGTTCCAACTCTCAGCTAAAGGACAGGCAGCGACGTGACCAGACACTACCCAGGAGAAGACTGGCCTGTGCCAGAAAGCTCATGAAAGGTGCTCCCCACGGTCCAGGGAGAGGCAAATTGAACCCGCAGTGAGGTGGGGCTCCGTGCCCACTGGGGTGGCTGAAAGATGCAGGCTGACAATACCAAGTGTTGACAAGGACACGGCACAGACGCAACTCTTGGACGTGGCTGGCAGGACTGTGAATCAGCACAGATGCTTTGCAAAAGCAGCAGCTCCTTCTGAAGGCCCAAAACCCTCTCCAGTGTCCCCCTCCAGTGTCCCCCCTCCAGTGTCCCTCCCTCCAATGTTCCCCTCCAGTGTCCCTCCCTCCAGTGTCCTCCCTCCAGTGTCCCCCCTCCAGTGTCCCTCCCTCCAGTGTTCCCCTCCAGTGTCCCTCCCTCCAGTGTCCTCCCTCCAGTGTCCCCCTCCAGTGTCCATCTCCAGTGTCCCCCCTCCAGTGTCCCCCCTCCAGTGTCCCTCCCTCCAGTGTCCCCCCTCCAGTCCCCCCTCCAGTGTCCCCCCTCCAGTGTCCCCGTCCAGTGTCCCCCCTCCAGTGTCCCTCCAGTGTCCCCCCTCCAGTGTTCCCTCCCTCCAGTGTCCTCCCTCCAGTGTCCCCCCTCCAGTGTCCCCCCTCCAGTGTCCCCGTCCAGTGTCCCCCCTCCAGTGTCCCCCCTCCAGTGTCCCCCTTCCAGTGTCCCCCCTCCAGTGTTCCCCTCCAGTGTACCTCCCTCCAGTGTCCCCCCTCCAGTGTCCCTCCCTCCAGTGTCCTCCCTCCAGTGCCCCCCCTCCAGTGTTCCCCCTCCAGTGTCCCACCTATCCCACTCCCAGGTGTTTTTCTCAAAATAAATGAGACACATGTACATGCAAAGGCTTCCACACAAACGTTCACAGTGGTGTTACTCACAGTAACCTCCTGTGCGTCAGCAGGTGAATGGTTGAGCAGGGCAGACTCCACTCACATCACGGATTACTCAGAAACAGGGAGGAGCAGACCCTTCCACACCTAACAACTTGGTGAGATGTAGAGGCTCGTGCTGAGCCTGGGAGCCACACATGGAAGAGAGTTTCTGCGTGATTCCTGCACACAGAATTCCACGGAAGGCAAAACTCATCCTGGGGCAGAGGCCGAGGGTCGGGGCTCACAGGGACGGAGCCTGGGACAGTTCCGGGCCAGCAGTGTCCTCTCCTGGACAAGGATGGGGTCTTCATCAGTCAGAATGGACCAAAATGCAAATATCACATGGATGCATTTCATTTTATGTAAATTTCACCCCCCAAAGTTGATTATAAAGAATAAATGAAATACTAAGGCAGGTGTGGTGGTTCATGCCTGTAATCCCGACACTTGGGAGGCCGAGGTGGGGGGATTGCCTGAGCTCAGGGTTTCGCCCGCCCTCATGGGGACAGAAACAGCAGACAGCCGCAACGAGACGAGGCCACCTTGGAAGTTCCAGGACAGCTTCCATAGTGGACGCCCAGTGTGACGATCGCAAAGGTGCCCTCGGGTCCACGTGGTGTTGTCGCGGCCGGCGCCCCTGCTTCCATGCTCAGCGTGCAGGCGTGCAGCCCGCTGGATTTATACGTTTTAGGGAGACATAGGAATCAGTCCACACATGTGAGGGGCGCACTGGTTCAGTCCAAAAGGCAGGACGACCGGAAGTGGGGAATTCCAGGTCATGGGTGGATTCAAAGATTTTCTGACTGGTAACTGGTTATTATCTAAAGACCTGGCATCGGTAGAAAGGAGTGTCTGGTTAAGATAAGGGGTTGTGGAGACCAAGGCCTTATGATGCAGATGAAACCTCCAGGTATCGGGCTTCAGAAGGAGCTTCAGAAGGAAGAGATTGTAAATGTTTCTCATCAGACTTAAAAAGGGGTCAGACTTCTGGTTAATCTCATCTGGGTCAGAAAAGACCTCCAAAGGACAAGGAAGTCTCTACGGAATGTGGAGTCCCCCACAAGAGACCGCATTGCAGGTCATTTCAAAATACATCAGAGAAGTATATTTTGGGGTAAAATACTTAATTTCTTTCAGGGCCTGTTAAATGCCATTTTGGATGCATTTTATCTCTACAAAGAGTCTGTTTGGTCAGACTTAACATCTCTGTTTTAGTGTTCCTGAATTCCAAAGGGAGGAGGGTCTGAGGGGGCGTGTCCAAACCCCCTTCCCATCAGGACCTGAGCTGGTTTTCCTGGGTTACTTTGGGGTGCCTTTGGTTGAGAAGGGGCTCCATTCAATTGGTTGGGGGTCTTAGAATTTTATTCTTGGTTGACAGAACCAATACTTAATGATTTTCACGTGAAATCTTATTTTACATGAAAATGATTTCTACTCTTTGAAAATTGGAAGATTCTAGGCCCCGATTCTTACTCAGTCTTGATGAGCTGAAGCTGAGTTGCGGCTGCTCCCGGGGACAGAGCAGAGCCACAGTCACCACCAGTCCCAACAGCCACGCCCAGCAAACCTGTCTGTCCTGTGTTGTTTGTTGTTTGCTGATGCCGCTGCTCCACGTGGGGGAATATTTCTCTAGAGTTGGGTCCTCATGGAGAGAGGGAGGATAGCGATAGACCGAGAGGATTGACTATTTCAAGAAAAAGAAGATGTGTCTTTGATTCCATCATGTTCAACACGTGAAACTAGTCCTCTTCTCTCCTGTACTTTACCTGCCTGACCTTCATGTGAGTGAGTTCGTCAAAACTCACCCTGGAGGACCAGAGTCTGGGCGAGACACTGTCAGAAATGAGCTCCGCAGTCACTGGAGGGTCACAGAGTCACGTGCTGGAGCCCTGTCAGAATCACTCCCCTCGCACAGGAGACCAGAGTAATAGACAACAGCCCGTCAGAATCACTCCCCTCGCACAGGAGACCAGAGCAACAGACAACAGCCCGTCAGAATCACTCCCCTCGCACAGGGGACCAGAGTAACAGACAACAGCCCGTCAGAATCACTCCCCTCGCACAGGGGACCGGAGTAACAGACAACAGCCCGTCAGAATCACTCCCCTCGCACAGGGGACCGGAGTAACAGACAAGAGCCCGTCAGAATCACTCCCCTCGCACAGAGGACCGGAGTAACAGACAACAGCCCGTCAGAATCGCTCCCCTCGCACAGAGGACCGGAGTAACAGACAACAGCCCGTCAGAATCACTCCCCTAGAATCACTCCCCTCGCACAGGGGACCAGAGTAACAGACAAGAGCCCTGTCAGAATCACTCCCCTCGAACAGGGGACCAGAGTAACAGACAACAGCCCGTCAGAATCGCTCCCCTCGCACAGGGGACCGGAGTAACAGACAACAGCCCTGTCAGAATCGCTCCCCTCGCACAGGGGACCGGAGTAACAGACAAGAGCCCGTCAGAATCGCTCCCCTCGCACAGGGGACCGGAGTAACAGACAAGAGCCCTGTCAGAATCACTCCCCTCGCACAGGGGACCAGAGTAACAGACAACAGCCCTGTCAGAATCGCTCCCCTCGCACAGGGGACCGGAGTAACAGACAAGAGCCCGTCAGAATCACTCCCCTCGAACAGGGGACCGGAGTAACAGACAACAGCCCGTCAGAATCACTCCCCTCGCACAGGGGACCAGAGTAACAGACAAGAGCCCGTCAGAATCACTCGCCTCGCACAGGGGACCAGAGTAACAGACAAGAGCCTGTCAGAATCACTCCCCTCGCACAGGGGACCGGAGTAACAGACAACGGTCCTGTCAGAATCACTCCCCTCGCACAGGGGACCGGAGTAACAGACAACGGTCCTGTCAGAATCGCTCCCCTCGCACAGGGGACCGGAGTAACAGACAACGGTCCTGTCAGAATCACTCCCCTCGTACAGGGGACCAGAGTAACAGACAAGAGCCCGTCAGAATCACTCCCCTCAAACAGGGGACCAGAGTAACAGACAAGAGCCCTGTCAGAATCACTCCCCTTGCACAGAGGACCGGAGTAACAGACAACAGCCCGTCAGAATCACTCCCCTCGCACAGAGGACCGGAGTAACAGACAACAGCCCGTCAGAATCACTCCCCTCGCACAGGGGACCGGAGTAACAGACAACAGCCCTGTCAGAATCGCTCCCCTCGCACAGGGGACCGGAGTAACAGACAACAGCCCGTCAGAATCACTCCCCTCGCACAGGGGACCGGAGTAACAGACAAGAGCCCGTCAGAATCACTCCCCTCGCACAGGGGACCGGAGTAACAGACAACGGTCCTGTCAGAATCACTCCCCTCGCACAGGGGACCGGAGTAACAGACAACGGTCCTGTCAGAATCACTCCCCTCGCACAGGGGACCGGAGTAACAGACAAGAGCCCTGTCAGAATCACTCCCCTCATGCTGGAGGATCAGGAGTAACAGGCGAGAGAAAAAAATAAGAAGGACACGATGCCGAT